GATCCTGCCCCAGCCAAAGATGCTCCATGCATTGGGTTCAGCCACAGGAGCCCCCTCAATCCAACCCCAGCAGCTTAAAGCCAACCAAAGCAGCCTCAGATTTATCCATTGCAGCCTCAGTTCTCCCTAGCTATATTTTCCTCCCTTCACATTAGCTTTTCCCCCCCCCGCCATGTAAAACAACCCCCAGGTTCTGACCCTTCGTTATCTTCGCTCACAGCTCCGTGTCATCTCCTCCCTATCCCGGTGGCGCACCCAAGGACAGACCCATGCAGGGAAAGGGACGGGCGATTCGGGGAGCTTGGCAGCAAAGGCGCAGCTGCTCTGCGAGAGGGAACGGTGCCATCAGAGCGTGTCCAGGGCACGTTATTCCAACTCCTGCAAATGTGCTGCCAGCAAAAGGTGCACAGGAAAAACCCATGGTACTTTCACCACCGTTTGAGCATCCCTGAAAGCTGGGGGCAATGGGGACACTGTGGGGTGATATCTGCCTTCCCACATGTGCATGACCCTAATTTGAGGGCACCTGGTACCCGATATGGTGCAAAGTGGCACTCTTCCCAGGTGTGACATGGATTATCACCATGGTGAAGCCGTATGGTGCAAGGGATGGATCACAGGCTGGATTTAGGTGTAGTGGAGGGACAGATGGATCCTGGTCCCCGTCCCCACGCCGCTGCTCCTGCTGGGTGCAGATAAGGCGGCCGCACAGGAGCCAGGCTGGCTCTGGCACTGAGGCCCCAGCCAGTAAATTTCCACTGGGGCAGCTCCCAGTTAATGAGCTCCGTGCGTGACCCGGGGCAGTGCTGGAGCTGCCAGCGGGTGAGAGGAATTCCCCGGGAACGAGAGGGGATGGAGACCCTTCCTGCGTGAATGTCCTCAATGTGTGTCTCAGGACCCAGCCTGCAATTAGCCCAGCACCCCAAGGGTGCAGCTCACTGAATTAAAGAGAATAAAACAGGGGCCCGAGGGGTTGTATTTGAATAAAAAACCTGAGCAAAGCCCCCACGGGATCATCATCACCCCATGCAGGTGCTCGTGGTGGTGCGTCAGCTCCAAGGTCAAGGCTGGTGGGACCGGACTGAGTGGAACCCTCCCTGTTCACCTCCACATCTTAAAATAAAGCCAAGGCATCCCTAAGACAGTCCCTAACTGCTGGGTATTTTCTCTTCCTCCCTGTTTTAGAGGTAGAACGCAGAGTCCTGCACTAAAGCTGCAGACAAACACGGGATCACGTATGATCTCAGAGCGGTCAGCACAGCAACTGAAGGCAAACAGAAGCGACTTAGTGCATGTTATGGTACCAGAGCGTTTTTATGCTCTATTTCACTTGCTCCAGCCCCAGCAAGCACAGACCCAGGGATGCTGAAGAAGCCAGGCCTGGAGCAAGCGGCTATGGTGACAGTAGGAAAAAAGGGACCCATCCTTGACACAACCCAGATGCTGTTTGCATCCCGAGCCGTAGCATCTTTTCCTTTCTGTTTTTCCTTACCTACTGCTCTGATATTTTATTTCCCTTAACCGCCTCGGATCCTTTACTTTTCCTGCTCTCCAGCTCCGCGCCAGCCATTTATCACCTTTCCCTTTTGTGTTTTCTTGCAGCGAGCACCACTGAAAAGAAACATACCACCTTATTGTCCACTTGTTTTCCAATACAGTGAATTTATTATATGTTGCAAAATCAGCATTCAGCTTTTTAGTGTACAAAAAAGACACTAGCTCTTAAGAAAAGGATTAGGAAAGCTGAAGACTATGCTGCCTTTAAATTGTAACATTTTGGCAAAGTGAAAAGCTCTTTTGTAAACTCCAACTCCATGGCTCAATATAGTTTTATCCACAGTACAATATTACAAAGTAAAACACAGTATCAATAAGTTAAGATCATACTTAATCACCTAGAACTGGTTTCTATTAACCCAAAAAGCACAAAAATTTGCCTAGCTTCATAATCTCTAAAGAAAAAAAAAAAGAAAATAAAAAAAAGGCAGATTAGACTACAATTCTTTAACACAGTCCAAAAGAAAAGTGAAGCAGAAAGTTGTTGGAACGCTAATTGGGTCTCACAGTTTGGATATTCATTAAATATTTTCAGTTTTTATATTCAAATTTTAGAAGTTCCAGAATATACATGTAAATGTACACAATACATCTTTGTATACAACTCTGTTTGCAAAAATATCTTATAGCAGATGTATAAAGATTGAGATCCATCTCTATTCTCCCCACCACCCCCCCTCCCCCAAAAGCAACAACAACAAAAAAAACCCCGTTCAAAATATTAAGGATCAGGAGAAGTGTTTCCATGGAAGAATTTACTCATCCTGGCTTTGGAGCTGCTGCCTCTTCCGCCACCCAAATTTTGGGCTCCTCACGCAACGCAGCTCGAGATGAAGCCCTGCAGTGAAATTCAGCCTCACCCCCAAATTTGCTCTGGCACCAGCTGGGTTGTGCAGTGACAAATCTCACGGTGGGTCCGAGATAATGCCATGTCCCAGTGTCTCCATGCAACCTCCCAAATTCCTGTGGCTCCAGTGAAATGTACGGATTCAGGGCTACAGGTGGGTCTTTGGAATCGGACATCGCCATCGCTCCCGAAACTCATGCACTGACCCCACTGAGCAGGAGGACGTAATCTTCTGGCCCAAAGCTCCTCGCCGTTAACTCCAGCTTTCCCTGCAAGGAGGGAGCCTTTTTGGGAATGCCCACGAGAGAAATAGCTCCCGAACCTCGATCTGTCTCGATTCGGAGAGGAAGAGATGGGACGAAGTGTTCCCCAAGCCCAGGGATGCTCCTTGGGACCCGAAGGACCACCTGGGACATCGCCTCTCCTCCACCGGGGGTGGTTGTGCAGCCCCACAGGACGCGGCTGTGTTGGGGCTTCGGCTCCAAGCAGGGGATGGCAAAGTCCTGGCAAGCGCCGGACACAACGCGGGGACAGAAACTCAACATCGCAAGTGACAAAGCAAAGCGGTGGCCCTGGCCGGACGACGCAGCAAAACTAACCTAGCCAGAACGGAATTATTATTATTAATTTTTATCTTCTTTTTAATACAGCAGATGGACCCATATTTTATTTTTTGGGGTGGAAAAAAAGGAAAATACTCCTTGTGTAAGAACTGTTTCCCTCCTTAACTCTGCCATTGCACTCCTTCAAAGGGTGAAAGGCTCCTCAGTGCAACCTCCAAGGGAAGGAGACGCCGCAGGAAAGCAATCCTTTACTTTTGGGATAAATGGAAGCGGGAAGAAGTCAAATCACACAGGCTGGCAGGATTAAAAGGGGAAAAGGGAGAGAAAGAAATAGAGTTAAAGGACACCTTTGTGCTTTTTGGCGTGTTTCTCACACCCTGGCCATACTCTAAAAATGTTCCCTTCAAGTCCAAAACACAACAAATAAAAAAAAGAGAAAAAAAATGAGGACTAAAGAAGCTGGCTAGATAAAGCACACCAGTGGAAGTGACCCGCATGGGAAAACGCTACCTTACTTCTCTCACGCTCCGAGAACGATTTGCTGCTGCTGCTGCTGCTGCTTTGGAAATACACAAAAAAAACAGAAGAAAAAGGCATCGTGCCCCCCCACCCGTCCTCTCTTTTGGGTCAGCACAGGTAATAAAGTAAAATAACTCCTCTGAGTAACTACCCGCTAAGCCGCAGTAATACTGCAGACGGGAGACAGGAAAGGTTCTGAAACACTCGGCCTAAAAGGAAAAGGGAGGCACAGTTTTAGAAAAAGATGCTTTTTTTTTTTTTTCTTTATACAAAAATAGACCACAGTCTCATTAGCGATTACGAAAATTGGCTGCCTTGGTATAAAATTAGAAAAGTCAAAGACAGACAGGTCTCGATCTTCCCAGCACGGGTACTTGGAGGTGAGCGCAGGCAGACGGGACCGCGCATGCTGCAGGGGCCACTGCAAAAGCCATTTACGCCCACAGCTTCTGAATGCACAAGCGGCTAAAGAAAGCAATTTTAATATTATTTTCCCCCCCTTTTTTTTTTTCTTTTTACACGAAGGATCCACCTCTGCCCTGCACAAGGCCCTGAGTGCAGATCCCCTCCTACCGCCACAACCGCCTGACGAGAGCACGCACCGGAGAGGCCGAAAGCGGGAGCGAACAAGGAGAGCGCTGGGTACGTGGTGCGTTTAACACGGAGCTGTACTGAACCACACGGAGGTGGTTACTGAACCTGGCGCTGCGGAGAGCAGACAGCTTTTGCATACGAGCAGTCGCAGAGAAGGAGGTAACCGAGCAGCATTCCAGTTCCTCACCATTTCGAAGGACAATTTGTAACCCAGTGGACCCGGGCCAGGGGCAGTTACACTTCATGCCAAACTTTAATCCATGAAAACTACTGATTCTTAACCTTTGGGAGCTTCGTTCACTTTAGGCAACTTTTCCCTTAAGTGTCAAACGCTGGCTTCAAATAAGCAGGTTATTTTTTTTTTCTTGTCTTCTTTTTTTTTTCTTTTTTTATTTCTTTTTTTCTTTTTTTCTCTATTTGTTACATTCCAACATTCAGAGAGGCTAAAACTCAAGAGGACCACACCGGGCTTGGGACAGATTCGGCATCGTAAGGAATCCTCACATTCTTCAACCACGAGGAATTAATGCTAGTCTCTGAAAGGGATGGAGTTGTATAAAAGGGAACGTAACGTCCAGGTGATTTTAACTTTTTCTCCTTTTTTTTCTTTTTCTTTTTTTTTTTTTTTTTTGCCCTACCCAGTCCAAATCAGCGGCAGCTAAAACTGCTGTTGGTCATACTCTGCTATCAGTTTTTTAATGTGAGCCAGTTTGTTGTGGAGGTATTCGCAGCGGTTCTTCTCTTGGCTGTAATTGGGGTTAGTCTGTAAAGAGAAATGAAAAGGCAGCGATGGGAGGCAATTCTTCAGAAACAGGTGACACCCACAGTGGACCCAGACAAAGCTATTAGACCTCAGAGCATGGAAAAATGACAGAAAAATGAAGTTTTTCTAGCTGGAGGAATAGATACCCATTTAATATGGACCTACTCTGGTCAAGCAAGGCAAAAACCACAATATCATTGATAACCAGCTCCAGGAGCCTCAGCACAGGGAAATGAGAGCACCCTGAGCTTTAAAACAAAGATGAACTGCAAACACACAGGGAATCTCTCCAAAAAGCTCCCAAATCCCTCAGGACAACGAGACTCAGGGCCGTATTTGTAGATTTTAAGAAAACCAATCCCCACCCCTGGTGTACGGATGCTGCGGCCTTGGCACCTCTACCTCATCCAGAGAAATCCCAAATCCCTCATCAACAGCTGTTGCTTGACATGTACATACAGAAATGTAAAGTACTTTGCATGCTTCACACACCAAAAAGCCCCGCTGAGGCCCTCAGGAGACCCAAGTGACTGTACCCAAATCACTCCAAACACCCCAGGACACCCCAAACCTGGAGCATCCACTTAGCGCCCAGCCTGTGCATCCAAACACAAACTGTTCTTCCCTCGAGGGGAAAAAGGCAAATTTCACACATCTCATTCCTGTGCCAGCGCCCCACTGACACTGCTGGGTGCTGCCCAGCGTCCAAGCAACAGTCTCAGTTCCCCTGAAACCCTTTCTGATCCAGCAAGGGACCAATTTTTGGACAAGCTTGAGCTGAATAAAGATCTGCTAAAATGTTCCAGAGACTGGGTTTCTCACTTGGCAAATACCCATCCCTTACAGGCACCACCCAAAAGCCTTTTTATGGCAGACTATTTGTACTTACCTTTTTAATTTTCCGATATTCCTGTAAAATTTGATCATGGATGTTCTAAAAAGGAAAAGATGACTTATTATCTTCAAAAGAGCCAACACCCTTGCAACCTACTGCAGTGGCAAGCATTTACTGATGGCCCGATATGCTAATTTCTTCCAAATACTGATCAAAATCTAGTCCCAAATCTACTCCATGACCTCCCCTGTGAGATCTGATGGCTACAACCAGCCCCAGTGACTCCATACTGGTACTGACACCAGAAGCACTGGGACGATCAAGCCCCATTCCCCTACCTGTAACAGGCACCTGGGTTGGCAGGATAATTCCCATTTCCTCCACAGCTCAGACCGATTTTTTCCCGAAATATAAAAAATAATTCAGTGAGGAGTCACTGACTTTCTTAAAGGATGCTTGAGGGAGGCAACAGTGCTCAGTACAAGAGGTGCTCTGTAAGAATCTGTTTATTATACTCACTGAGACTTACTTTCTTGAGATAATGAACAGCTAAAGCTCTTTTAAAATCACTCTGACAAGTCAAATAATGCTACATTATTACGATCAAAGATTGCAGCACAACAGATGACCCTGTACTAACTTCCCTTCCAGCCCCGATACGCTACCATATGTGCGAAGAGGAGTTTGCTGGCTGGGATACACTAATAGCTTCCAGCAGCTTTTGGCTAAAGATGCCAATTGTCTCGCTGAGGCCTTTCCCTGTCAACAAGTACCATGATGTGTGCTCCTGCTCCAAAATGAAACAGCACAGAGCTGTTTTAGGAACAGGCTACAAAACCATCAGCTGCCTGCACGTTCGGCATCCACCAGTTTGGGGCTATGGGTAGGACATGTTTTAGACACCGACCCATCCCCAACAGCCCCATACAGAATGGCCTAAACGAGCCATAGCGTTACCACTTGCAGAAATAGCTTTTTTTGACTGATATATTTCTGGCTCTACCTTATATTCTTCAGAGCCCTGCAAAAGTTGCTTCAGCTTGGCATCTAACTGCGTAAACCGTCGAGTTATCCTCTCTATCCGGGCGTGCAAGTCTCTGTACTCGTTGTATTCTGCGTTGAAGTCGTTTTTGTAACTCTGACGCTGCTCCGAAGAGGAAATGGCCGCGTATTTTCTGGAGGGAGAGTAATTTAGTTAACTGGTTTAGTAGGTCCTCTCTCCAGACAGCCCAAATACTGCAGGGCAAAAACCAGGACAAGAAATCTACCAGGTGACTGCATTTGTAAACAAAGTCTCTCACAATTTGCATTACAGTAGCACAGAGGCAGTTGTCAGGAATTTTGCCTTGACCTCAGTGTAACACAAGAATTGCTTGCTTCCAAAATCCCCTATCTCTGCCAGATAGGGTGGAACACGCAGGTACAGCAAAGCCTGCGTGCAGCTGAGAGTGTAGGAGGACCTTCAGATAGCACCACTACAGCTTTTCCAGCTCCTGCTGCCTCGCAGAACATGGAGTTCTGCATCTGTGCCAGGCCTTGGAACAGCAGCAAAACTCTGCTCCCAGTGCTGCGGTCTTTAAAGGAACACAAAAAGCGCTCAGCAAAATGCCCACAGTACAGTTATGTGGCAAACCATGGCGAATATATTCGCCACTACCTTCTGAGTATACCCAACGTGGACTGAACACGAGCGCTCATGTTTAACAGATGTGCCTTTGAGGCCCTTGGGAGTTGTTCAGCTCACAAAAAGCCATCAAACCTGGCATTTTGCAGAAAGCCCAGCAGTCGGTCCTCTCTGATAGTAATACATCTTTTTGTGGGTGATGACTCGAATTTGCCACCTTACTCTGCCTGCAACAGTGCCAGCTCGGTGCATGAATATGTATAAGCTAATTTAGGTATGAAATTAAGGGAAAACTTTCACTCTTAACCTAAATGCTCTCTAGACTTCAAGAACTGCCTCCTTGCTAGGGGTTGGTATAAATAAGCATCTACACAGGATACAGTACTATGAGATAAGGAAAACCAGAGGGCCCAGAAACCTTCCAGGATTTCTTTGGAGATGGACTGAGGAGCTGTAATATCCCTCTAAGGGAGGGATCAGCACATTTGTTGCAAGAGAAAAAAACTCCAGCCATCCACATTCTTCTGAATGGCACCAGAAAAGCCAACTCCAAGCAGCTGCTTGAGGTTCATCCAGCCCAGCAAACCACAGTTTTGCAACCATGCAAACTCTGTGTGTCCTCCAGTCAACCCAGCGACTGCTCCTGCAGAGCCAGGACTGAATTCCTCCTCCTCCATCATCTTTCCCCACGGTGCGATTGCAGCGTGGCCAAACCAGATCCGATGGCATTAAAACCCCAGGCTGAGACACACACAGGGAACATTACCCCCAACTACACCTCTGTGCTATCGCAGAGCTTTGCTTGTAGCAGGGTTGGCTTTATGCAGAGGGGTTTTTGTGCTTCAGCAGACGAGTGTATTGTTTAGTTAACCTCAAGGGTATCTGATTAAAAAGTCAAGAGGTGAAACAGCTCGCATCCTAACCCACAGGTTGTAACCTCCCCAAGAAAAGTATTCCCTGGTTTATGTAGATTATCTCTGAGCTGGGGAAGAATTAGCAAACCTCTCAAAATCCTTTCTGGCTCCATCTTCCATGACATGAAAGCAGATCATTTCCTCTTTATGTTACCAACTGTAACACGGAGATGTTTAATCCTTTCAAACCCCTTCAAGGTATGCAATGTTTTTTGAAGAACTTTAAAAACTGGTTTGTAGGAAAATAACCTCTAACTCCACAAGGAGGTAAAGAACAGAGCTGATACCAAATTCAACCTCAGGAACTATCCGCAAAGTAGGATTTACTTTTCTGGTTTTCAAATCACCGTACAAAGTTCTATCCAGTAACATTAAAGTCCAACAAAAATCCCCAGTACATTGTGACTGTTGGCTTGAAACACGATCCCAAAGTGATGAAGCATCTGATAAATATACTTACAATAAATAATCTGGCATTTCTGAAGTTGATGTTGGTACACTAGAATTATTGCATGTTCCATTTAAACCTGAAAAAATAAAAACTTGTTTATAGACAAACTTTAAAGCTCTATGCAATTAAGCTTCAAATTCATAAGCTTATCTGCGATGCACAGTTTTATCAAATTCTAAAGGATCTGTGTTTTGCTTTGAACTGACAAAGACAGAAGATCCACAATAAGGTGAGTAAAACTTCAAAGTTCTTCTAATATCTGTCTGTCAGCAAAACAATATCAACATCAACCAATGCACAGAGCAGCAAAAATTCCTAATTTAACTGGTTTATAAATGCTGCCAGCAGGAAGGGATAACACCGATATCAACTGCTAAACTGCAGAACAAGTTTGAGTTCAGATGAGCAGAGTGGAGCTGAGCAATGTGAGCATTTTTTTTCCTTCGCTATATAGATTCCTACTGTTAATATTCTGGATTTCTATAGGGTACAGCAGAGAGGTTTACAAGAAATTCAGCTTTTTCCTCACGTAGCCCTACTTCCCTGTAGACAAATCAAAGCAGTCTATGTCCTGTGAAGCTGAAGAAATATGAACTGAGCAAGGCTCAACTAAGAATATTTAGGAGGTTAAGTGAAGGGACCAAAGAGCTCAGGAGGAACAGGATTCTGAATGGGAACCTGAAACAAAGCCACCCTCAACCTAAACCCAACACTGCATTGTCAGTTTGGATGAAGAAAGCAGATGGATACAGGTTTAAAAAGGAACATTCTCATGAACTGGGTATTATGCCAAAAGCCCTAATGAGAAAGTCAACTGCATCTGAGAGAAGGCGGCAAAATAAGAGGCGAGTGGCAAAGCCTGCAAAGGATTTAACTCATCTGCTTTGTGAAATGTGTTTCCTCTTCCCAAGTCTGTCCCTCAGAGCATGCAGTACCTCCATGGCAGATATTTGCAGACAATTCTGCTTTCGTCCTTACCTGACCGCCAGTGTCAAAGGTGCAGAGCTTGGTAAGGAAGGTCTGGGTAAGGAAAATTGTGGAGAAGGGAGGGAGAAAAATAGGGCTTATTTTGCCTATGAGTGCCACCTACTGACTGGGAAAGGACCCCCAAGGTCCCTCCATCACCTCCTGAACAAACCTCCCAGCAGAAAACCTGTCCCGGGGGGGGCTTGGTGAAGGGGCCAGCCTTTGCTGCAGACAAAAGGAGCAGGATTAGGCCCATGTTATCCACATAAAGTAAGGAAAAGAAAGAAAAGATCCCAATTCAGATGCCGCCACTGACCACATCCTGTTTATGATTATTCCCAAGTCCAGCTCGGGTTCGTTACTTCGCATACATCAGCGGTGCAGCAGGAACAAAACCCGACTCCTACCAAATAACAAAGAGCCGGTCACTAAACTGCTTTTAAAGCCAAGGCGATAAAGGGTCAGCAACTTTACGGAGAAAGAATTTGGGTTATTTTGGCATAGGGACAAAAATACACATCAAGAAAAAGAGAATGGGTGTGTATCTATCCACTGCCATTCATGACACAAGGTACATGGGGAAAAACAACATATTAACAGAAAAACCTAGGACTGGCACAAAAGTAAGACCAAAGTAGAAGATGAATCTGAAGAGCGTGGTTCTGCAGTGCCACGCAATGATCACAGCGATGGACTGCCATTACAAACCACTGTTGAGCCATCAAAACGCATTTTGTAGGTGCTACAAGACCGCGGGGAAGGTGGGAGCTAATATCACATTACCCTCCATGCCCTATGAAGCTGTCCCTTTCCAAGAACCCGACAAATTAGATTCTGTTTCAAGTTATTGCCATTTTTGAGCAGAAATTGGAGGATTTTCACACATGAAGAGGAACTTAAGTGTTAGAAAGTAGTAGACAAAGAAAAATAAGATGGATCCAAAAAGAAATTTAACAGATGGGGACTGCAATATTCCTGGGAGATGTCCCACCACTCCAGCGAGTTATAAGAAACCCCAAAGCAGCAGAAAACGGAAGTGTTGCGGGCAGTGGCAAGGGAACGAAAGGATTAACCAATATACATTCACTGTTCTGACTTCTAAGAGTGTGTAAAACTGATTTAGAAATATACTGGTTTGATGGAAAACATTTTCATTGCGTGTCAACAGGTAACAGATCCACTGTTGTGTCAGTCCCTGAGAAACTAAATTCAGGGTAAGAGTGGGATACAACAGGGAAGCTCTGAAAAAGCTGGTTGTATACTGCTGGAGCAGCATTTATCACAAGAGATTTATCTATAATTTCTTTCGTAGCCAATATTAAAAGCTTTTGTGACTAACTTTTCATTACCGAGTTAAAAATCAATACCACAGTCAGCACAATACCAAACACCAACAGAGGAGCTGTAAGTAATCAAGCAGCGCTACTTTTTCCAACAGATCTTGATGTCTACCTTTCATCCCCACATATTAATATGGCTTTTAATTTAACCAGGAGAAACATGACACGGTCTGAGGCAGCTCCAAACAGCACGAATGGTTAAACAGGAAAAACCTGATATCCTCTTCTGAGAGGAAGCACATTTGTTGATTTGGAGGTAGGGACAGTGATATTATTGCGTTAACCACAGTCTCTGCAAGCGGACATGTAACCTCTTTTCTCAAATGGATTTAGAGCAGAAATCACACACTGCTGGGATCAATATTATCTTAGCACAAGAGGCACCTCTCGGACTGTACATACCTGTGACCTGTTCCTGGGAAACACTACCTAAGTCAGCATTTTTTATTACTTCACAGTCCTGCTTCTCCTCTTTGCACTTCTCTTCATTTTTCTTCTCCTTTCTCTCTTTTTCCTTGTCTTTGTGCTTTTTGGATTTTTTCTTGCTTTTTACATATGAGCTGCAATTGTGCTTGCTCGTTTGGGGACAGTCTGTCGGTACGGGATGTGTCAGTCTGTCAGCCGGCTCCAGGTTCTCACAGTCTCTGCCGTTGTGGGTCAGGTCGTTGCTGACATCCGAAAGGGGATCGTGAGGCCTCGGCAGCTCCAGCACCGGGAGGTTGGAGCTGGAGCTCACCGACTCCGGCAGAGGCGGCGGCAGGGCAGGGGCTGGGGCTGGGGCAGGGGTGTCCTTCCCGTTGGAGGAATTCAGTTTCCCATTGAAGGTGGGTTGAGTTCTGTGAGCCAAATGCGAGATCCTGGGCTTTTTGTTGGCCAGGGGATCGATAAACTCCAGAGGCTGGGATCGTTTCTGGGGAGGGAAAAGGGAAAAAAAAAAGGAAAAAAAAAAAGAGTAAAATCAGATCTTGGAAGTCTTTATAGACTACAATTTTGGCTGCTGTTACCACTAGGTGGTGATGCGGTAGCAGAGAACAAGGGAGCACTCCCAGAAAAAGAGCCCTGCTATGACCCAGAGCTGCCAGCAAGTGGCCCAGCTCCTGCACTGGTCCTGGACTCATAGCATGGTTTTGGTTAGAAAAAACCTTTAAGATCATCGAGTCCAACCACCGAGGTTGGACTGCCAGATCCTACAGTGGCTGATCCATGCCCAAACTGCTCCTCCACAACCCAACAGTCACTCTGGAGTGCCTGGCTTAGAGGAAACCCCCCCTACATCAGCAGTCATTGACCTCCTGCACTATTCATGCTCAGGCCACGCAACCCACCACATCTTACTTCAAATTCAGCCCTTCAGAAGTAAAACCCCATCCTTCACCCTCCCCCTGTCCCAGTCATTTAGCAGAGGATAGAAACAACCATAAAAACATCTCTTTTGGTCATGGTATTACATTTAGAGCACCTCAAAGTCCCTGGGAAGGAAAGATGCGCTCAGACCTGTGAAGCATGGAGGGATTCACCAGTTCTGCATTTTATTCCCAACTGATTTTACCAACTCTGCAGCCAACAGCTTTGCCCTTGCAATACCCCTCCTTCCTCTTTTTGAGAAAGAGGCATTTCCCGGAAGAGGTAAGGAAGTGTCAACTGTTCAGTTCTGAGAATTTCAGGCAAAAGAGGATATTTGCAGCAGTTTTAAAAGCCACATCACATGGAGCAACATGACTTGAATATCCTCTTTTTAAATAAAAACTGTAGAGAAAGCCAGTGGTTCCCAACTGTTCCCATCAGCCCTACCTGGACAGTCACAGCCAGGGCTTGGAGCAGCTCCGTGTGCCCACAGCTCCCAGTCTGCAGTTACCTATGGACTGTGGGTTAGCCCAGAGATGCTGCACCATGGAAAACCCATCCATCAATTGGCAGAAGCCAGAGCCAGAAAGATCAACGGCTGTCGGACTCAATCCAGCCTCAATCAGCCAAAATTACCTTGGCCAGCCATCAGTGCAGCGGTGTGTGCCTGCCTGGCACCACCGGGCTGCAGAAAAACTCCAAGGGAAGATTATTTAGTGCCCAGAGGAAAAGAAGAGATAGTTCTGGTTATTTCTTTTGGATATTTCATTGTTTTCTTTATGTGTCAGACAGAGCTGCGATGCGTTTGCAAATGAAAATGTTCTATTGCAGAAGTGCCAGAACCACTAATTTGTCCTGTTTCCCCCCAGTTATTATTTCTCTTTGCTAACCCTGGGGTCTCAAGGACTCTGCTCCATGGCACGAATCCTCTCCACCTGTCAAGGTAACTACGAGGAGCTGCTCTCAGCACTGCAGAGCTCAAGGCGCAAGGCCAGCACGTCCAACCGGCTGCGCAACATCCCTGTCTGCCCTCCCAGCACAACACACGCAGTGTCCATCTCCCAAAAGGAGGGGCTGTTCACTGCAACTACAGCTCTCAGAGCAGGCGACAGCTCTGCGACCTCCCATCTTTTACTCACCTCTCTCTAAAGGCAGCAAATAGCAGCGTCAGCAACGCTACCTCTTGGATTACAGGGTGGTATATGCATGCAGTATCTGCTCTGTCACGGTGCTTCTTTGCCTTTGTTCCACAACTGAGCTTTCCCAAAATATTCTGCATTCCACTCTACCAAACCCCAATCCTCTGCTGAGATTGTGACCATTCGCAGGCCATACTTTCTCTAAATAGCAACTACAGCTAGAGACGGTGGCTTACAACAAGAAGCTGTCTGTTGTTCACCGTCTGACACAAGAAGCACTGCTGGAAACATTTATATTCCACATTCGGCTGTCCCTTTTCTAGATCCGCACCAATCAGCCACCCAAAATTTCAACTGGGTCACCTCAAGACATCAGAAACAACCCCTGCAGACCTTTGCATCTTTTAAAGTACGTACAACCGGAAGTTGTTCAACCTGTATTTTTTCAGAATCTGGTTAAGCAAAACCCCAAGACCAGCCTCTGAACTGCATTGTGTCTTTTCAAGCAAACTTGAACCAAGGGGATCATGCTTTTATTCACCAGAAACATGCCCACAGCAGAGCAGGAGGGGATACGGAATTAGCTACCTGGCAAACGAGTCGCACGGTTCTTGTTCTCAATCAAGAGCTGCCTTCCCCTCGCTGCCAGAAAGCACGTAATTTCTTTACCTGCTAATATTCTTTGCCACTAATCCTCAGTGCATCTGTCCAGACAAGTAGGCATTACACATTCCTTTGGCAGGAGGAGAATAAATACTCAACTTGTCTGGGCTGACCCACAGCAGAGAAAGGAAGCCGGCATTTCACAACGCTCGCAAGAAATGCCTGCACTGAGAGATACTACGAGGAGTTGGGACAAACTCTGCTTAACACACAAGTAAATGCGGCTCCTTTGCAGTTCATTATCAAGGAAGAATGGCTACAATGTGCTTTTCACAGCTTCACATGCTGGCATCTCAACAAATCAAAGAGCAGACCAACCTGCCCCTGATCTCTCCTGGCAATTAAGTTGCAAAAGGTCATGGTTTTTAATAACTCAGCTGTGTTTGGGAGCTACTTATTACTGCTTCATTCCAGTCAATTATTACTAATGAGTAAAACACAAGCTCCTTCTCCCAGGAACTCCAAGAGGGATGTAGGCACTCTGAGAAAAATACAGCCCTTAAAACTAAACCTAAGACGCTGACAAAGATCCTCCCCGTAGACCATCACTGAACCACATCCAGAGAAGAAACAGATGCTGAGGATGCCCAGAATGAAACTCTAAACTGAATAAAAATGGAAAAAACCCAACAAGGTTGACCCAAGAGCCTCCAGCAGAGGTGGTTACAGTGTGAGGACACGCTGAACCTGGATCTGTGTCCAGCAATCAACGCCATCGAGAGCAGACAGTGCTACCGAGAGCCAGCACCCTTGGACTGGGGTCACCCACCTGAGGAGGAGAGCTGGAGTTCACGGTGTCTTTTGGGGGGCTCAGGGAAGGCGCCTCTCCTTGAAAACCGCTGCTGTTCTGCGGCTGACAGAGTTTCCTGAAACACAGAATTAGGGGTTGTTCAAATCCCGCACTTGACAAGCCAACTGACGGCATTTCAAACCTTCCTGCAGAGCAAAGAGGCATTTTGTGGGCTCAAAGTCTGCTTGAGGATGTCATGAAAATAGCTCGTTCAGGCACTTACAGTTTTGGTCTCAGAAAAAGTCTAGGAAAAAGAAACTACAGGAAAATATCAATTAATAACATATACTAATTGCTGATTTCTTTCTTGCCTTCCCACAATTTTTGTAAACCTCTGTGAATGAAGGTAACACCTTGGACTGACACTGCCGGTGTTGCGGCAGGTTGAGCTATCAGACACAAGTCAGGATCCCTTACTGAGGATGGAACTTAGTTTTCTGACAGTTTTACCTCTTTTCACTTGAACTGCTGACGTGAGTATTACAACAAATAAATTACAAACTTAGAAAAATGATCCATACACAGATTACTAAAAGCTGGCACTGAACTTTAAAGCATATGGGACATAAATTAAAATACAGTTCAATAAGCAGAACATTATTTAAACTAATTTCTGCTGAGTTTGCCTCACCCAGTTAAAATTGATTCACAAGAAAATTCAGAAAGCAAGCGGACCGAAAAGGGGCCGAAACTTAAGTTCAGATGTGGAGGAGTAACTTCTCCTACTCATCAGCACCATTAAAACGACATTTGACAGGAACAGCAGTCCTTTTTCAGGAGCAAACCCCTCTGGGCCCAGGAAAAAGCAGGGTTATAACAGGAACCATTACAGTATTATTGGTCCACTAGGATTTACATTTAAGGCTTCATAAGAATACTTTTAAGTTGCATCATGCAAAATAGCGTTACTCTGGCCAGAATTTGCGGTATTTGACAAACATTAGAAACCTCTTGTAGCAAAAAGAGTGCAATTCAAGTTATTCTAATGACTTAATTCAGCGTTAATTCACATTCACGCTATGTATCTCCACTCTCCACACTAAGCCTTGGAGTAAAGTCTCCCAGCTTTACCCTGCTCCTGCCACCAGCCCCATTGCCTGTGTATTAATCACCCAGGAAAAACGAGTGTTGCATCAAGTTGCAGCTGTCAAGCTGAAAAAAACAAATACTCAGGGTTAAAGGTTTTAATGAACCAGCTCTGCAGTCACTTTGTGGTGACAAACCACAAAGGTTGTGCTGCCCAAATAACCAACATCAAAATTCTTCCGCAGGAGGCTGTAATCAGCTGTAAAGCGCACACATTTTTCAATCATGGGGAAGATTACTTCAGAGATAGAGCCCCTGACTTTTACAAGATTTGCTTTCAACCCGAGCTTGAACCTTGGGCCGTATTGCAGCAACATTCGGACGTCTGCAGTTTCACCCCCGTTTTGGCTTCGGTTGCTGCTTTGTTTAATTTTAGTTAGAACAACCTCAACAGCCACGGATCAGCTCAAGAACAGCGCTCAGGCTGCGAAAACAGGAAGGGGAGCAGCGATATCCCATAAACACCGCAGTGAAAGTGGCTTTTAGGATGCCATTTGACTCGACTTTGCAACTTTGTCACATCTCCTAACATCTTAATTATAGATTTCATTAACTTTTTTTTTTTTTAAAGATGACTGCTTTCAATTCAGCGGCTCTTGTAACAGCAGGAAAACATTGCCCTGCAACGGCGAAAGGCTGGAAAACACAAACAGCGTGAGGGTTAGGCTCAGACAGGTGCTGTTAAATACAGTTTGAGTATCTGCAGATGTGCTAATTATTGCAGGCATTGAACCATCAAGTGGCAAACGGACCCAAAAACCAAGAGGACACCGAAGAATTGGCTGGATCCAGGCAACCACGCAGGCGACCGCAGCCTCCGACGTCAAACCCTACGTCTGGTGCCTGTGCCCTTTTTGCGAGTGTTTTTCTGCTGTCTCCAGCCCTATATGTTTTTTTTCCATTCTGTAGCCTCATTACCTGCACTGGCCAAGTGGGTCTTTGTTTGTACAGTTGAATACATCCTTTCCAAGGTCTATATTTAAACCTTCACATAACTGAATGCCACAATTCTAGAAGAAGCGGTAAACATTGCATTCTGTAGGGAGAAATTCACTTTTTTTGAAAGCCATAAAGATTGCATGGCTGCTGTATTTTTCCATTTAATTATAATTCAACATCAGGGCTGTTTAAATGAGTTTGATTTTTCTTCAGCATGCCAAAGCACTTCAAGTGCAAGTTTCTGTTGGTTTAACAAAGTCTCATCTCCAAAGCCAACTGTGCTTTTAAACCACGGAAACTGTTCAAACAGAGCATGCTCTACTTAACCAGAAACACGGTAAAATAAATCTCAAAAACAAAACAAGTCAAGTAAAATCTCTATCTGCAGTACAAAACCTGTACCAAGTCAGTACAAGCACACTGAAAACCCAGCAGGGGAAATATAAATGCTAGGAGGAGAATTCTCCTTCAGAGACCTGGGAAATTTGCTTGCTTTCCCTGATGCCTGCCAGCCAAAAGCTTCCAAACTTGGAGGCTTCACCTAAGGTAAAATATCTGTAGGGGAAAAATATCTTCAGCAAATAATGAGTCAAAGTTATGGCCTCAGCTAACTCTGTTAAGGGCTATTTTCAGGAGGGAACGTGAGAGCAGGTACCCCTTGAACAGTGGGGTTACACCATACAGGCAGCAGGACAACCCAGGACCATCTGAAGAGTTTGTCCACCTCGATATTCAATTTCAGTCAACTCCTACAGCTGCCTGGATGAGAAACAACACTCAACTTACCCTTCTTCTACTGACTTCAGTTACTCTGGTTTATAGCAACTGACCTGGCCCAGTGTTTTCCAAGCTCCAGGTGGTATCAGAGAAAATAAATATTAGAGATTAATTACCGGACAAGTATCCTCTTCAGCAACTGCTGATCTCCTTCTGAGTAGCCAGGCCAGTCCTTCTGCACTTCTTTGTATACACAATCTTTCAGTGTGAAAGTGCTGTCCTTGGCACTCAAATTTGCCACCTGAAACAAAAGTAATTAAAAAAAAATGTTGTTAGGGTTAAATTTTCTCACTTGTTCTAACAAAAGAGATTTAAGATGCAGGCAAAAATCTCAGCAAACTTAGCAGCAGCTAGTGGTGACAGAGAACAAATAAGAAACTTTATACTTCAGTTCCTAATTATTTAGAGTACTTAAACTGTGCCTTTCCTCTTGCCTTGTCACTGCAATGGTTTCTTATGAGTTTCCAGAGTATATCCAGTTTACTGGGAAACAAGTCATATCTAACCGATTATTCAGTTGGATAGGCTGGAGTGGTACAAGAACAGTTTGTGTAAATATGTGGAAATAAACCCTGGCAGGAACAGGCAGTTCACTTATCACACCCGTCCGATAGCTAAAGCAGAGCCGTTTATGAGCTGATAGAGGAACTCTCGCAGCGATATTTTGGTTGACGATAGCCAGAAGATAAATTTCTCACTAACAAGGCAGCAAAACAGGCGACAAAGACACTTTCTCAAGGAGCAGCGAGGAGACCGCGTTAATGACAGCGTGTTAGGGAGTCTGCAGAATATGCTGCATTGGGATCATCCCCTGGATTTTATGGAGAACTTTTCCAAAGACTTCTTCAAGGCAAAAACAAAACCTGCCATTTCCCAGCTGATAACCAGGGTTTTCACAGGAACGCATTGCACCTAAACCATATGCTGCAGTCAGCTCGGTACACTTGCATAAGAAACTCAGTGACATTTCATCCAATTCTATCATCTGTAGTTTCCCCACAAAACTCTGTGTGGTGCCTACACGGATGGGAAACACTGCTGGGACTGGTAAAATTGTGTTAGAATGGAAACAGCTTGTTAAGAGTTATCCCGCTTTAATCACAAACACTGCTTGACTGAAAATTTAACTTCTTGCTGCTGGCTGCACATCTGAAAAATACAATTGGAGCACAAACCAAAAAGCTTTCACAGATCCTGTCTACGTGAACCCTTCTCTAGTGATTGAAGAGCACTGTTAAGAAGGAAAACAAAGCCTTAAATTTGATTTTATAAAAGGGATACGGAGGCACAGGTGCCAAATGCTATGCCCACAACTGGCAAAGCCAGCAATCACATCCCAGATTCATGGCTTCACCGCTCCCTTTGAGGACTGCGTTACATTTGAGACTGGAAGATGCTTTTATTCAGTCAGCAGAGATACTGTGCATCTCTTTAAGGATTAGCATTCTCCATCACTTGCACCCTTCAGAAGATGGTGGTGCTCATGAATTTCTATTGTCCACACAGCAGTAAGACAGCCATGAAAGAGTGAAAAAGTCTTGAATTAAGTGAAGATGCTGTTAATTCTACTTTTGCTTTAGGGAGCATACGACCCAATACTAAAAACCTCTAAATTTAAAAGCAAAAAGCTGCAGAACTCATATAGCAAAGCTCTCCTGATAAGCGAAAAATAGAAAGCAGAGTTATCAGTTTACATGACAAACACTTTGTTTTTCCTTTCAGTTCTGTCAGCTTTCCAAAACCCTGAGCCAAAATTCAAGAATAATTTGAGCTGTGTTTTACATTTAGATCTCCCGGTAAACATGCCCATGAGACGAGAGCAAAGCCAGGTTTATTTAAAAAAAAAAAAAACTAGCTCAGAATTTCTCCGGTTATGGCTTCTTTCTACAGCGGGAAAGACGCTGCTCGGCGAGGCCTGGAGCCCAGGCACAACAAAAACAACCCCAGTTTTCTCTGCACAGAGGCTGAGAGCTGCTCCCTCCTTGTTTTGCTGCTGTGGGACTCTGCAAGCTCCACCCCCAGCCTCCCAAAAATAGAAACCTTGCAAAATGAGGCAAAAAGGCCAGCGGGAACACAGAGTCCTACGAGGGATGCAAGAGTACAATGAACCCACACCTAGATGGATTTAAACATGCAGCTTCAACGCAGGCTGTAATTTTTAGCTTATCTGCGTCTGCTTGTGGATGGGAGCCCTGGTAGCGCCAAAAGGGGATTAAGTTTACGAGCGATTTACATTTTACAGCCAAATCAGCATTTAGCCCAATCGGGCCGATGCTGCGGACACTGCCCAATGCACCGCTTGCCTGCTAGGGGTTTGCGAGAGCATCAATAAAAGGTGATTATCAGAAACGGTATTTCTAATATTAAATCTATTTATAGCACTCCAAAGGGTGCTCAGAAGAATTTTAGAGCTGCAGGAAAATTAAGGATTAAAGTCTAGGGAAGGAGTAAGTTGTGCCAGCAAAATCTCCATGTTCGGTATGACCTGCCCTGTGCCCTTGGGCAAATGAACTCCTCGCTGTGTCATGCTCTTCAGCTATGGAAAGGAGGAAAATAAAACAATCCTATACAGAAGGGGGCAGCTGCAGTATTTAAATAAATACCCAGGATGTGTTTGGCACTGCGCGAGCAATAAAGGTATTCACTGCAATTCCTAAAATGGCACCTTCAATATGACTCAAAGTGTTAAGAACTGATTCAGCGTGGAGACAGCTTTCACATTTGAAGTACAAATAATATGCTTTGCAAGAGGCTGCATGATCCTCACACCCAACCAGTTGTGCTGCTAAGCTGGAAGGGCCTGGGTCTGAACAATGCAAAGATGTAAGGCTTGGTAGAGAGGGACATATTTTCCCTTAACATAGGAAAAACTGCATGTATCAATACAGAATGTGTTCCTTTATGTCCACGTTAATAACAATATACAGATTTATACGTTATAACAAATCAGCTTGTTGATCTCCTGTTAGATAATTCTCCCCATGACCAACCAAAAGTGTTCCTTCCTCTAAAGTAACTGATATGGTGAGCCAAAATCACACAGCTCAGAGCATGCACCTAAATGCAGGCGTGCACACCTGAGTCTTCTACCTCCACCAAAACAGTAACAGGAATTGCAAACTTCTTTGGAGAAACATTCAGCTGCAGCTTTGAGACACACGGGTTACGTTCAGGCTAAAACAGAAGGGGACACCCTTCTGAGAAGGCATTGCCCTTTGCCTAAATGAGGGCACAAACCTGTTGCAGAAGGTTGTCCAGCAAATCCTTGTCCTGCTGAGAAAGTCCATCCTTCTGCAATCTGAGAATAAGTTCAGGTTTCTTATAAGGCTTTAGTGCCAGTAAGTGCACGACCCTATCCTTGAAGGGTCTCTGAGAAATGGCGCTATTGCCTCTCTTTATTGCACTGGCGAGGTTGACTGGAGTCGGGCGCTTCCTGGAGGGGACGGCATCGGAAGCTCCTGGCGCAGGTTTGCGCACCTGAACCTTTTTGCCTAAAAATGAGACGAGAACAGTGAAGTGCAGCAGTCACCTCGCAAAGGCTGTCAAAGCACATATGGGGTTCATTGCAGCAGCTGAAGTGCCAGAGGGTGACAACGAAGGACAAACAACCAGCACACCCCATCCGTCCCCATGTGCTGCTGGATCGAGCATCCCGTGAGTGTTATGATTCGTGACAAGCTTATAACAAGTAAACAGCAACACCAAGCTCTGGAAACCTGAGTATTATTGGCCACAAGCTCACATAAAGCTCTCTTTGTTTGCCAGCTTTTCATGTATCCCAAGTGCACGTATCCCCACTGCTAATCTAACCATTTTCCCCCTTCCCTGTGAGAAGAAAATTCAGCATTATTATGTAGAAGAGTCAAAATATGGAGTGGAAAGACCAGAACTGGTCAACGAGCTGCTCCCTGCTGCTGAGCTCAGCAGAAACACTGCTTCAGCAGATGTTCCTGCTTTTCGAACAATAGGAACTTTATGGGGCCGGGTCCACCTCCCTTCCCCCCGCCAAACACAGCCACATGAATGGGGTCGAACAGTGATGCATCGGGCTATTCATTAGCGTGCTGTCTATTCTGATAAAATAACCCCTTCCGCATCGTGGTGGCAACCGCTTTGCCCTCCAATGACATTTATGTGCATGTGAGAACATAAAGATATCTCCGAAGTTCATCTCGAGCCCTCAGAGGCAGTTCCTCAGCTCCATCCCAAATGTGGTTCTTGGTTGCTGACTGTATTATACAAGAATTCATTTTTCCCATTCCTACTGAAAAACAGTTTTAACTGGAGCCCTCACACAAGTCCCCCCATCACTTACTAAATTGCAAATCAAAGGGTTATTGCTATTTTGAATACAGAAACAGGTCACAAAGCCAGGTCTCTGCTACCAAAGGCAAAACCAGCAAATCGAAAAAACCAGAATTTGTAGTTTCCAAGGTCTAAACCACGGAGGTGCAATCAAGAACCACTTCGGTTCAAGGACATCCAGCATTTACTGCTGAACTGTGGAGGTTTATTTCAGCACAGCCATTGCCCACTGCTAGGGAGCAACGTTTTCAACTGAGTCATCTGAAGATACTGGTGATTGTCTGCAGTGTTTATTTTACTGAAATGGAGATTGCATAACCAAGCCCCCATTTCCTGGCTTTTTATTACGCACCGATGCAAGTAAGTACAGCCCACCGTCAGCAGGAGAGGGAGAAAAACAACAACTCGCACATTAAACATCCCAGAATTCAGATGTCAACTGGACTTGGTTTCCAGAAATGGGACAACAGAAGATTCATCAGCTTTCTAGAGCTCCCTTAATTCCTGCCAGGTCATGAACAGCAAAAACACACTGGGACATTTCCACTTGCGGCTGGAGCCAAAATGTGCAACGATAGGAAGAGAAAAACCTGAGTTAAGCCAGCACACGTAGTCTTTTAAAATATTTATACACGTGTGTATGTATAGACGTATATACACATCTAGTGTATATATAAGCGCACACATCCTCCTACAGACCTATCAGCTATCTATTTACATACATATTGGTTCAAGTGTTAAGTGCACATCTATACTGTTCTGGTGATCTCCAATTTCGACATTTCCTATAAATTCCTCCCCATCGGAGCTGCCTGGAATGACTCCACTGCTGTGTAAGTGCTGAGCTCCGTGTTCTCCTGGAAATGTAAGAGCCAGGGTTCTCCCTGCAGCCCAGCCCGCACTGGAGCAGCCGATGGTGCTGGCATCCCAAATACCTGCATGTCCCACAGACTTGTCCTTGCCCAGGGCTCTTCCTTCTTGGACCAGTGCTTTCCTCCTTGTCTTAAACACTGACATCTCATAAATATATATATACAGCATGCACTCCACTGCTCTTTACATAGTTTTACCTCCATTTCAGAGCAGTAAATGTTTTAGTGAGAGTATTTTTACGTCCAAAGCTTGGCTCTATCTTTCCAGGAAGCAATTTGCTTTGAGAATCTTCTCAACTAACAACTTCATGCACTTACTGTAATGTTCTCAAATAGAAGCTAAACAAAATAATCTTTCTAGTCTACAGGAAATCAATGCATTTCCTTCCTGATCACTATCTCATTTCTCAGCTTTGAGCACTTGGCTGATAAAACAATGAGTCAGGGTCAGCTCTACATTTTGCAACTCACCATTCTCATCACAGACATCCTCTGAGAAGAGGCAGCCTACACATCACGTGGGCTGCAGAAAAAACAGCTGGCTCAGGAAGAAAATCCAAAAAACCCCAACTCTGCTTTCTGGTTAATATCTGTGCCCTGAGTCTGTGACCAGGCTGAGGTTAAGCAAGGACCTGAGCCCAAAGCCAGGTCTCTGCAGGCTCCTCCTGGAGCTCACTGATGCTTACCACAGTTTTATTTCCACCCTTACAATTCTGGTTTTGTTTAAACCTGCAGTCAGCAGCACTGCTTTAGCCTCTTTATTAACTGCTATCTGCAGTCTAGATGTTGCATGTTACGGTCTCAAGTGTGGGTGCGCGCCAGATGTGTGGCAATGGCAGCGGGGTACATTTTAGCTGACTTTGCTTGGAGCGCAGGCGCTTCTGAGGGAGCAGCAGAGCGCTCTCAGCATCACAAACGTGAAATAATGCCAGAGAGCGATGTGACTGCACACAGACAACCCTCAGCGGCCACGCAAACACCACCACACATGTTTTAGGGTGAAGATGGAAGCTGTGAAGAAGTCACAACACAAGGAGAGCGGCACCCTAATAAATGAGGTACCCATAAGGAACTATCAAATACTTATTAAAGACTTTTATGGTCACATGTGACTGAGAAGCCAATGAAGATGGCACCCCCAAATCAAGCTGCTGCTTACCTACGTATCTCCCCCCAGGCTTAATGACTATCGCGCTCCGGCTGCGAGTCTCCTCCTCTGCCTGTGCCATGCTTTGCCTCGCCTTCTGGTAGGAATCATCAGTAGCACACACGGTGATCTTGTCCTGTATGCTTCCGAGGCAATCCAAATGGATGTTGCCATTGCTGCAAGAGAAACGCAACAGAAAAGATACTCCCAACACTGCAAATGGGCACATCTCTGGCACTTACGAAATAACTGAGACTGCATTAGCCAAATAACAGGAGGGGACAGAGAGAAGCTATGAAAGGCAAACCAGCTATTCTGTGAGTGCCTCCTTACCCAAATTTACACACATACACAGCCAAATAGATTAGAAAGACTCTAAAAAGAAAGAACAGGTATTAAGTTTTGTTCAGGTTTGTTAGGGGAAGGATTCTGCAGAAGATGAGGTAAAAAAAAGGGTAGATGTTCTTGTGCTGTACCACTCACCTAGAGACATACTGCTGGATGCAGTCAAAACTCCCTTGAGGGCTGTCCTTGCCAATATTTGAAAGATAAAATGTGAATGTCCGCACTTCCGTGGGTCGATCGGGCCTTGGGATGGCGATGTGCTGTTTGGAGGGAGAAAACCATTGGTCATTTGGGTGGCCCACACTCACACAAAATTCACTTTTTCTGCAGTCACTATGCCTTAAGCCATTTTGTGACCTACTGCAAGTAAAGCACATGGATTACTGCATAGACTACAAGGAGTAAAGAAACTACAAGAAGGATTCAAGTTAGCAAAACTGAATGCACTGAAAAGATAAAGTAAGAGGTAGACAGATGTAAAACAGCCAAAAAGACAGCTATGTCTGTAACAGAACAGAGCTGAGCCGGCGGCTTCGCTGCCCTTCAAAGCAGAGCCCACAATAATCTTGTTCTAGGAATCTGACCCAATTCTATTGATTCAGGCTCAAAACAGACTTGCTACTGCTGTCTATATTCAATTTAAAGCAGTTGAGACTTGTTTCTTTAGAATTAGTGATCCAGCACTAAACATAGTACATGGCAGGTCGCTAGGTAGCATGCTTATTCTTTTTTAAGAGATTATAATTCCATAACGAGATTTCATGGCTCACAGTAGTGTGACGCTGCTGCTAAATTAAATATTTAATCAAGCATTAAGTGTGCTCTGCAGACAACTCACAGCAATCCACACTGTTTATCTCCCCCCAGCCACTCATTTTCCAAAAGGGAAACTGCTTCCCCTCCACGTTCAAGATCCAACATAAATCTCAGCATCCGAGCTCTACCATCACATCAATATTTGATAATTAAGATGGCTTCCAGAAAATGAGACAGAAGGAATGTCAGCTCCAACCTATTTTAGGCTACGCTTTACCACACTGATTTATATTTACCCAGATTGCCACATATACGCACAAAATCTCTATGCCTAGCGAAGCGGCATCCACAGATGACTGTGCTCCAGCAAAGGGGACAGGAGGGGTTTTTGGTGGTTTCCCATTGCCCTCAGCTGTCTGCAGCAGCCTGGAAACCCAGGGCACCCATGCACTGCGCGAAACCACAGGGATGTTCCCAGCATTGGCACAAAACGCCTGCGTGACCCGCGTCAGACTGCTTTTTCCATCTGCTCCCAGTAAAGACCAGCTCCAAACAGACTGCCCTTCTTTGAGAAGCCAAGCCAAAACACCCAGGCTCCAGCGATACAGGAGGATGAGTTATCCCCTGCCCTGTCCCACTGTCTGGATCTAAAAATATCTGGGAGCAGATCTGGTGGCGATTCGGGCAGCGCTGGCTGAGCCCTGTTATCTCCGTGGCCAAACGTGCACCGACGGCCTTGAGCCCTTAATCTGTCCCAGCACCCTCTGCCCCCACCCATCCAGGGCAAATAAAATTCTCCTCTGCTTTATGACTGAGCCGAAAATATGCACGAAGTCCAAGTTATACCCACAGGAAATTGTGGACAATATTTTACTTATTTTAATAACTTATTAATTATTTTATAGTTGGCACTGCTCACTCACTAGGAGGTAAATGTTGTGCTGCACGCGATGGGTTTGTAAAATATAACCTGGAGGATGCAACCAAACCATGTATTCACGTACTAAACCAACTTCTTTCTAGTTCCTGATTCACCATTATTAAAAAATAGCAGCTCAGAGCCCCAACTTTGGCTTTTTTGTAGAGTTTCTGCATCTTCTTCAAATGAGACAGGAGCGAGAGGCACTTCAGCGTTAAACCTTGCTGGTTCCAGTACTGAAAAGTGCAGCATATGCAAACCGGCCGTTATCTAGGAATTATTTTTAGCTGAAACAGAAGGTTTCAAGCCACCAAATCAGCATGGTAACTGCGCTTTGAGGGAGCCCTAATTTTGGTGCCGGGTATTACACCAGTAACCATAGACACTTAAAAATAGCTCGGGACAGATGTGACTTCTGGTTTTTTTTTCTTTCAAGTAATATTCATCTGTGTACGGCTCACGCCAGGCAGCAATTTCACCTTCCTCTATTCGTACCAGCACAAGTTCACCCCAGCAAACATGGGAAAATGTCATACTTTCCAATAACAGTCGTATTTAAGAAAGCTGCATGAACACACGTGTACTTGGCACCTGAAGGTGGGTTTTTTCCCCGCTATTTCAGTTCTTGCCCTAGTCCCCCCAGTGAACACCTGCAAATTTGACCCAACCTATTAAAGCAGAAGCATTTTCAGCCTTTCTTGTGAAGTTATGCAATCCAACTATCCCGTTTGTAACACTTTGGTACCAAAGTTCTTAAATTCTAATTAATGCGCATGCTGAAACAAGGAAAATGCTCCAGACTCAACATAAAGTTACAAAAATATCCAAGAAGATCCAGTTCATGATGAAAAAGCAACAAACAGATGCTGCTCTTAAGGAATATCCAGGTAAGTCCCACTTTAGTACCTCAGAGTAACACTCTGCTAACGACAACCTCGTTATTACTGTTGAAATTCTGACTATAACACAGATTATTGCACTGAAAAAGGAATTAACAGAACCAGCACTGCTATAAATGCACGTATCCCAAGGCAAAGATAATTTCCAGGCCACGGTTTGTAAAAATTCTCATGAGATTTGATCCAGACCAGGATCCATGTAGGAGGTTTTGTCCCCTGTCACCAAACTATCTGATTTATTTTGGGTTAAAACCATCAACATTCTCCTTTCAGCACCTGGCTGACCCTGAGCTTTATTTCTGGCCAACTCCCTTCTTTCTTTAATTACAGTATTAAAAACAGGAGTTGTTATCTGTGTGTCAGGAGCTGGGAGTATCCTTGACAGCATTCATTAGCCTAACGCTGGGAATAGGGGAAAAAAGACGCAGAGACAGCAATTTAAAAGCCCCACAAATAATGAGAATCAACAGGTCAGGAGGTTTCTAGAGAATTAAATTAAGGAAGCAGCAGTTTGTTTTAAACTCTTATTTTATGTCCTGCTTCCCCCAGTCATCGAGTACTTTATGTTTTTCGTTCTTGTAAGAGGGATATCCACACAGAGAAGCCACATTTAAAATCTATCCCTGGACACTGCTTTAAATCTCACCGACATTTGTGCTACGCACAAAACCTACCAGCCTCCAAAGTTAATGGGAAATCTCCATAGCAACACTTATGAGGAAGGCAACAAAATGGGGAACTAAGGTATAGCGGAAGAAAGTTTATTTTAAATATTCTTAAATATTCTTATTAATAAATATTAAACATTATCGCTAACAAATATGTTTTAATGTAATCATCTGAATTTCAGAACTTAATAAATGACTGAAATTACCTTTTCAGTCCAATCTCTGGGATGCTCAGTCCCTTAAAGCAGGGCACAACCCTGACATATACCAGACTTCAAAGCAGATGCTTACGCAGCTGCCAGCTTCTTGTCATACCCAGGAAAAACAATAATAAAAGGCTAAAGAGCTCGTTCTGTCTGCCCCAACTGAACTGCATCTCACCTTCTTCAAAGCTCTACCTTTGGCCTTTACTCGACAGCGCAATTAATTAAACAGCTGCAAATGAAGCAAGCGGAGGTCAGTTCCGTCCATCCAGCGCAAGGCCCCGGCTCGAGCAGGGCTCAACGCTTCGCTCCCTGAATGGCGACGTCGGCTGCAGGGGCGCTGCTCCGCTCCTTCTCCATCCAACCTGGGCTGGAATTACGGATGAGCGGAGGTTCTTTCACCAAAACCTCTTCTCTGCAAGTCAAGGGCTTAAATACCACTATTTAATGGTTAAATTCAGTATTTAGTTTTAATTTTTTTAGCATGAACTGCATAATTTTTAATTTTTTAAAGCTATTCTTTTAAGAACTGTAATTTTAAAATAGGTTTTTCTGTTGGTTAACCTGAAAATGCCCGGGTCTGTATCAGATCCATGTGAAACTCGCAGCAGCTGAGGGTGCTGGAGCATTTTAAGCTGTTTTGACTCATTTTGCTACATTTCCTTCCAGGAGGAAGATGAAGAGAAGAGGCATTTCTAGACCTTAAGCAGCTTTACAGGAAAAGTTGGGTGCTCTACAAAGGGAGAGGAAAGCATCTGCAGTCGCCTTTGCTTTTTTATTCCATGCAAAGCTGTTTGCTCATCTAATAGCAACAAACCACACGCCCTGAAAAAGGCTTCCTCGTCACTCGCTTCTAATTTTGCCAAACTTCAGTTGCAGATTTTTATCTACACTTTCATGCTGAGCTTTCTGGGAAGTTTAATTGTAAATAAAGTAAATTAAAAAAACCTGGAAATTGCTCCTTCCTTTACTTCCCAGGACAAAAACATTTGTATTTTTCTTCTTAAGTTATGATAACAATCACCTCTTTCCTGCTACATTTTGTTGGAGTACCATGCGCTATCAGCAAGACCAATATCACAAAGTAAAATATGGGCAAAGAGAAATGTGCTGGACCTTAACGACTACTTAATTCAAGCCTTTTGGAACGTTTTATTGCGCCACCACAAAAAGTTAAGGGGTTATTTACAGCTGAGTTCAGGTTCTTGGAAAAAAAACAACATTAAATTCCCCTTCCTTAAGCAGAGCGCACCTTTTTGTCTCTAAATGGCATTTTTAAAGTTCACTGAAGAGTTACTTGACTTTACCAATTAAATCTGACGCTGTCAGGAACCGGTGTGACAGACTGTTTCGGGCAGCTATAAATACCTTGGGGGAGTTCAGGCATCACAACAGGAGTTAAAAAAATAAAATATATATTTAGTATATAAAAAACCCCTTTCGACACTCACAGAAACTGCATACATGTTTTAGATGGGCACATTAAATACAGCTCCAGCACCGACATCATAAATAATTTGGACCCAAAAAGTCTTGTTCCCAGTTCACCAGACTTGGCACGGCGTTTCTTTGGGATAGGGATGAGTTTTCCACCACTGCTGCACCCACCACGGCAGCGCCATTGATTCCTCCCTTCAACCCACCTTAAAGACTCAATTTCACCACCAGCAACACTCCGCGTTGCTCTGGTTTTAGCAAAGTTAGAAAATAAATGGGGGAAAAAGTTTTTATATAGAGATAAATCCATGTAATCAATGAGCAAACGCCCTTTCCTGGACCACATCTGCACTTCACGTATATCTCAGAAAGCAGAGCATCGCTCTCTGAACTGCCATAGCATGGACATACAGAAGCAACGCCCTATATTAAGTGCATTAAGCCAGTAAAGAACTTTCCAAGGTAACACATGAACAAACTTACCCCTTGGCTTCCTTGAAATTGGATGACTGGCTTTGATGTCACGGCATCCTAGGAAAAAAAATGTGGGAGAAAAGAATAAGTATTGCCTTAGAGAAATTTAAATCTTCAACATTCACTGCCAAAAAATACTCAGCTTGATATATATATATCCCCTCGCTCGCTCTCTGTGTGTGTATACACACACACACACACACACACACACATATATATATACATAAAATATTTTTTGAAGGAAAAAGGTTCAGGGAAGTATACAGAGTGAGAAAATACAAAATCTCCTGAAACAGCGATGTGTACCTAAAGAAAGGGATAAAACTGCAACGTCACCAGTGGTACCATTACTTCAGGAGAGGAACAGCTCCAAGATGACACCCAGATGGGCCCTGCATGGTTTCTCCTGACCCCTAAACCACATTTTGGGCCCTGAACAGCGCAGCTGTGGCTCTTTGGTGCTTATGTAAGGTTTGAGTTAAACAGTGGATACTTGAGGGGAAAATTTATTGCAGTTCTAGGCCCAAGAACACGCTAAGGAGATTTTTTCCAATAGAAAGCTGGCAATGCACTGGAAAAGCAAACGGGAACTTTATTGCAAAATCCTGCTGTTACATTGCCCATTTCAACAATCGGCCTCTTCCTCCATAATAATTTGCTTACATTTCAAAAAGTCAT